CTCAATGTTGTCACGAATTTTGCATCTTCTTCTTCGAAGCACTGGTGGGCCTCCTTATTCGGGCCCATTGTGCGCCCACATGTTACCATGTTACGACATTCAGCTGGGTATGCCGACTGCCTTGGAGAATTTTGCATAGTTCCGAAGGAAAAAAATGTTTTCTTCAATAATGCTAACAGTCATTCATAGTAGAGTTCAATATCTTTATAATAAAAAATTTAGGTGATAGTGGAAACAAAGGCAGAACGTTTTTTCTTCAAATTTATGTTCAACATGACGCTCACCTTCATTTCGTTTGTTTCTACTGCCAAATAATTTTGTAATACAATTGTAGCTAACTTTTACTAGGAATATCTGTAGACATTATTTAAAAAAACATTTTTCTCCTTCGGAACTATGCCGAATACAATATTTTCAAATGAGCGACAAAATGAAGATAATTAATCTCGATCAAAAAAATTGAGATGTTCTTCTCATTTTACTTCTCTCAAAATTTGTCGTCACTATGGACATCCCGACAATATAGTTATATGGATGTCCAATATGTACTGCCAAGTATCCGGTATGGACATTTCAGTGGATAATCGATTTGCATCCATGGACATAAGTAGACTTCCAGATGGAGTACACACTTGAACATCAGCTGGATATACAACTATGTACATTTCTAGATAGTTCCATTTGGTGTCCATGAATGCCTTGGACTTCAAATGGATATAAAATGGATGTCGTCTTTATAACGTGCGTTATCAGAATAGTAGGTGGAGCCACGACGCTTTTTTTCTCTCTTCGTTGAATACCCATGAATCAATAAACTTATTCATTAACACTGTATTCTTGCCAGTTGTGTATACAGGTTGTAAATTTGAAAACTCTCAATGCGAATATCTCGCGAAATAAAGAAGTTAGAAAAACGCCGCTTGGCACAAATGCCAAAGTGTTAGGAAGAACTAGAACCCCCATATTTCAGTGAAGGGATGAGTCACCCTGTCAACGCAACACACCCCAACTTTGAAATGTCAAATGGCACTACCTCTTTTGTGATACCTCAATAAACGGTCTCAGTCAGTAGTTTTCACCTGTACAAGACTTTTTTTTCACCCACTACAGGGTGTACGAAAAACATTAAGTCGAGGGTATAAATTTGAAAACCTTCAATGCGAATATATCGCTAAATAAAAAAGTTAGGAAAACGCCGTTTGGCACAAATGCTACAGAGTTAGGGGGAACTAGAACCTTCATACTTCAGTAAACGGATTAGTCCCCCTGTCGGCGCGACACACTCCATCTTTGAAATGTCAAATGGCACTGCCTCTTTGGTTATACCTCAAATGAACGGTCTCAGTCAGTAGTATTCACCTGTACAAGACTTATTTTCCACCCACTACAGGGTGAACAGAAAACATAAAGTCGAATAAAATAAAATGCAGAATGCCGATATATTCCAAGAGATATGTTTCAAAATGTTAGAATGGCATTTGAACATCGATTATACTATTGCTCACAACAGAATGGAATGCATTTCGAACATTTGATCGAATAAAATATCCTTTTAACACAATTCATTTTATTTTTTTCGACTTTATATTTTTCGTACACCCTGTAGTGGGTGGAAAAAAAATCTTGTACAGGTGAATACTACTGACTGAGACTGTTCATTTGAGCCATCACAAAAGAGGTAGTGCCATTTGACATTTCAAAGTTGGGGTGTGTCGCGCCGACGGGGTGACTCATCCCTTGACCGAAATATGGTGGTTCTAGTTCCCCTTAACTCTTTAGCATTTTTGCCAAACAGCGTTTTTCAAACTTTTTTCTTTTGCGAGATATTCGCATTGGAAGTTTTCAAATTTACACCCTGTATAATAAGGTTATCTAATAATCGGTTCAGTGTGTCAATCTTGGTTCGCACCAATTTACCGACGAATCGACGGGCAACGGATGAATAACAAACGTTTGGTCACAAAATACCCAATTCTGTGGTTTGGTAATTCACACGAAAATAACCCGTTCACAGAGTCGGTCTCATGCGCACACAAAGGCTTGAATATGATTGGTATGAATCAAAAATGGACAACAAAATCAACAGCCAGCAAGTGCAAGTAGGTACCCAAGAATAGGGCTATAAATCGAAGAATTATATTCCGGTGAAACAATTTCAATACATCGAATATTTTAGTATTCCATCCAATAGTCGAATACTTATTCGAATATTTTTATTCCAGATTTTTTCTGATTTTCTCCTCGTTTCTATAAAATGATATATGAAAATATGATATGAATATACGTGTACTTATTAAGGACAAATCAGATGATTTGCCCCAAAATGTCACTGGGTTTAAAGAATTTTTCTATAAAGGTATAAAGAATGAATATCAAAATTTCACTTAGCATTGGGAAAACAAACAAGGTCCACCACAACAAAATCAACCATCAATAACGACAAATATAATACCATACATACCCGGATTTATCTGAAAAAATTAATCGTACTGGTGATAAATTTCAAGGGAAAACTGTGTTCGAAACTGAAAATACAATGAGATAAATTCTAACACAAACGAAGTCAAAAAATTTAAAACAATATGAAAATGTAATCACAGTATACTTTGTGTTTGTGGTGAGTTTCATACAGGTGAAACCAAGAGACCTCTCTCAGTAAGGACGAAGGAACATAAGTACAATATAAGGAGAAGACATATCGACAAATCAAAACTAGCTGAACATATCCTTACTGAAGATGGACAACATATGGGAGAGTGGAATGATATTGATATTATTGGAAAAGAAGATAACAACCAGAAAAGAAAAATCGAGGAATCTGCTTGTATTCTTCTGAACGGAGACAATAGCATTGCTTCTTGTTCAGTTGATATAAATAGAACATGGTATTCACTACTGGAATCTGAAAATGAAAATGCTGGATTCAATATTTCAATGAAAACCTCCTGTAACTCGTTTGATTACCAGCGTCAGCAATGGTCACTGGGAACTGAGAAAGAGTGTCAAGACGGAAACGAATTTATTATTATTATTTGATATATCCCTTTTTTATGTTGAGAAAGGAAGCAGATTCGTTCCCGAAACTTCGAAAGCTAAGTGAAAATTTTATATTTTTACTGAATACCTTTATATTCATCCTCTCCAAACCTTTTTCAATACAAATTGTCACTAACCAGCTGGTGAATTCTTCTTTCAGGCTATCTGCTGGGAAAATTCTTCACACACAGTAACATTTTGGGGCATATCTGTTGAATATGTTCATGTTTATTTTGATAGAATGCCCTGTATCAAGTATCATGTATGTACTAATGACACGAATAAAATATAGTTGACAGACGTTTGAGGCAAAAGGTCATTCTCATTATATTTATACTATAATTTTTTTAATAAAACCAAGAGGTTATGGGCCCAGGTCATGCCCAGCATGTACAGTAACGAGTAAAGTAAAGTGAGGAGAAAATTCGTAAGAAGAAACAGAAAAAGTAGCAGATAGCAAGAGAGAATTACGTCTTCCGGAATATTGCCTTTTCCTCAGCTAACAAGCAGTAATTATAATAATTGGAGATTTCGAGTGGAAATCATGCTGGAAAAGGAAGATGTGAAAGAGGTGATCAAAATGGAGAAAGGAAATTATGAGAAACTGAGTGCTGAAGCTAAAACTATGTATGATAAAAAAGATACGAAAGCGAAATGTATCATAGTGCAATGTATGACTGATAAGCATCTAGAGTACATAAAAGATGCGAAAACAGCACAAGAAATGTTGAACAATTTGCAAAATATTTTTGAAAGAAGGAGTACTTTTTCGAAACTATATATAATGAAAAAGTTACTGAAGCTAAAGTGTACGACGGATGAACTACAAGTACATTTCATGAAAGTAGAAAGTTTGCTGCGAGAACTAGAAGGTGCAGGAGCTACACTTGACGAGAGTGATAAAGTATGTTATTTACTTCTGACAATGCCTGAAAAGTATGATACTATAATTACGGCCATCGAAACAGTCACCACAAATATAACTTTGGAATTTGTGAAAAGCAGACTTCTCGACGCAGAACTGAAATTCAAGGATTCTCAACCAGAAATGAATGATAACAAAAATTCTGCATTTCATTCTAAGAAACTTCCCAGTGGTCAGCCTGATATTAAATGGGCTCAAGTTTCGTTTAGCTGAAATCAGTTATGAAAAAACTGTTGCTATGGCAACGATCGTCATAGTAACGAGTAAACAAAAACCCGATTCCCGTGGTGAGGAAATGCGTGGTTGCCAAGTTGTATCGGGTTTAGTATAGCTGAAATCAGTTGTGGAAAAACTGTTGTCAT